CATTTCTTTATCTCTCAAAGGGTAATGGATCTTCTTCAAACAATGACACCAGGAGAGAGAGAGAGAGAGAGAGAGAGAGAGAGAGAGAGAGAGAGAGAGAGAGAGAGAGAGAGAGAGAGAGAGAGAACACAACTGAAATGAGAACAGGAGACCCCTATCCCTGAGTCAACTCTTTGTAAACAAAGCTTGCGTGTTGTCAACTGACTTTCTAGTTGTGCATCCGTGCTGGGAATGCAAAGCAGCCTCTGTTCAGCTCTGGCTAAGCTGAGTCAATGATTCAAAGGATTTTTTTTTTTAAAAAAAAATAAAAAATAAAAGCAAGGGGGCCAGGTTGCAAATGTCTCCTGAACACCCTCAAAGGCTGTGTGCTGGCAGGGCGGCTTCTGCAGTAAATGAAGTTGGAAGGATTTCTGTCTCTTCTCCACCACCCCCACCACCCCCGGTACATAGAAAGCCCAGGACTGCTCTCTTTTATTCTAGCCATTTCGGTTGCAAGTGACTGGAATACAGATGAGGGCTGATGAAGTCAGGAGCACTTTGTGAAATGAGAATGGGAGAGACACACGTCCACCTATTACTGTAATAAGCCACTCTCCTTTGTAGGTCTGTGTTCACATTTAACAAAGTTCCCTGCGTCTGGCATGACAAAATAAAGGCAGCACAGAGTTAAGAGTGCTATTTCCCATTGTTGGGAAATGGAGATTGGGTGGTCGCCAAGATAAAGTTTTCAGCTGTTCTCCTATGCCAGGGGTGTCAAACTCGCAACATCACGTGACGTGTTGCGACGTATCGGGACTTTTTTTCCATTGCTGTGTGGGAAGTCAGCCCCCCAGAGAAAGAAATATTAAAAGAAGCAGGAAAGCATGCCCAGTTTTTCTTAATAGCCCCAGGTCTCCCTTCCCCAAGCAGAAACCAGCTCTATAGAGATCCAGATGTAAATCCAGAGAGTTAGGAGACAAAGACCTAAAATCTGCATACCTCACCCAAACTCTTTAAGAGTCATTAGCCCCAGCACCAGGGAAGCAGGATATTACCTTTGGGACATAATAGGATTAACCCATCACCATCAGAATACCAGAAAAGCACATTCAGACTCAGGTCAAAGTTCATGCCACAGGAACAGGAAATAACCTCCAAACAAAAGGCTCCAGAGGGTATAAAACCCCACTCCCTACATGTGCTCAGCCCTTTTTCTCTCCTTCTTCCTGCCAGAACCATCTTTCTGTCTGGCTCTCCTCTTCAATAAACGGCAACCTTCTTCCCAAAGCAGTTGCCATGTTTATTCCCAGCTTGGATGAACCACGATGAAGACTTTTATTCCAACAGCTGGCAGTAGGGTGGGCGTGGTTTCAGCATGACGTATCCGGCCTGCGGGCCAGCAGTTTGACACCCCGTCCTATGCCGACAACAGCAGATCAATAACGGAATAACAGAGTTGGAAGGGACCTTAGAGGTCTTCTAGTCCAACCCCTTGCTTTGCTAATGCTCTGTGAAGATATTTCTGAATTAGGAGTCTACCTTCCAAAGTGTGAACAATTCCTCTCCAGCTGGATGTCATCTGCACATTTGATGCATGCCCCTTCAATCCTCTCATCTAGGTTGTTTCTGAAGATGTTGAAGAGCACTGAGCCCAAGATAGAACCTTTAACAGAATAACAGAAGGGAGTTTGGAGGTCTTCTAGTCTAGCCCCCTGCTCAAGCAGGAGACCCTATAGCAAATGGCTGTCCAATTTCTTTTTTGAAAACCTCCAAAGATGGAGGACTCACAACTTCTGAAGGCAAAGTGTTCCATGGGTAAATTGTTCTTACTGTCAGGAAATTTCTACTTAGTTCTAGGTTGGATCTCTCTTTGTTAATATTCCAACTGTTGCTTCTTGTCCTGCCTTCAAGGCAGTGGTAGGATTCATCTGGTTCACACTGCTTCGGCAGAACTGGTAGCTAATTTTTTGTTGCCCAGGGCCAGAATGGATTTCCGGAAGTGGCATCCACATAGAGAACCGGTTGTTCACATATCTGAATCCCACCACTGCTTCAGGGGCTTTGGAGAATAGCAGGTCAGGTTCACCCAGGGAACAGCACTGGACAAGAACAGGAGGGTCTTTATGCTATTTTTCTATCCCTTTAGATAATCAGGATTTAGTTCTCAATGGGGTTGCATTACCCCAGGCACATCCCTTGTGCAATCTGGGGGTTCTCCTAGACCAAGGTAGGCAACCTTGGCTCTTTTATGACTCGTGGACTTCAACTCCCAGAATTCCTGAGCCAGCATGGCTCAGCATGGAAACCTCTCCCTTTCCCCTCAGCATGGCTGGCTCGGGAATTCTGGGAGTTGAAATCCACGAGTCATAAAAGAGCCAAGGTTGCCTACCCCTGTCCTAGATTCACGACTCCTGCTCAAAGAACAGATGGCACTGGTGGCTAGGAGAGCCTTTGTGTTGTGTGCCAGTTGCACTCTTTCCTGGATTGTGAGGCCCTGCATGCAATCACTCCTGCCCTGGTCATTTTTCGGTTGAATTATTGGAATATGCTCTATGTGGGGCCAATTCAAAGAATTTTTGGAAGCTACAACTAGTGCAGAATGCAATGGCGTGGATGGTTCTGGAGCCCCCTTGGCTGTCACATGTTACAGTGTTGTGTAAGCTGCACTGGTTGTCGATTTGCTTCTGGGTTCAATTCAAGAGGATACTTATTATCTATAAAGCCCTCTATGGCATGGTTCCAGGGCAGTGGTTCTCAACCTTTTTAATGCCGCGCCCCCCAACCTGTCGTAAGTCGACTACTCAACTGGTGCAGCACCGTTTGCAGAATGGGACTTTTGGCAGGTTCAGCAGGACAGAGACAGCCTGGACAATTCCTATTGGCTTTTGAAAGCCAATAGAATTAGACTCTATTCAAGAGAGTCTATTCTATTGGCTTTCAAAAACCAATAGAATAAAAGGGAGTAGCACAGCTAAGGAAAAGGGGAAAAAAATGGCGGACTGCGTTGTTTGGCGACCCCCGTGAAATGGTTGTTCAACCCCAAAGGGGGTCCCGACCCACAGGTTGAGAACCACTGTTCCAGGGTATCTGAGGAACCATCTCATCTCAATGGGATTGGCTCATCCCACTTGTTCCAGCAAGAGGCTTACTTTGGAATTTCAGTTGTCGGGGTCCCAGAGAAGACTCTTTTCTGCTATGGAGCCCACCCTCTGGAATATCCTCCCACTAGAGGTGAGGTTAGCTCGCACACCCCTGGCTTTCCAGAGGGAGTCTAAAAATTTGGCTTTGCCATTTGGCCTGGATCCTCAATAGAGGCCATCTAGGCTGGGGGTGGCTGATAGGGTAGGGAAAAGATCCCCACCCCATGTGACCTGTCCTCCTGGTTTTCAGTTTTTCATTTATTTTTTCCTAATTTTGCATGTTTTGTATTATCTTTTTTACTTTCTACTATTCTGTAAGCTGCCCAGAGTTGCTAGACAGGTGGCATAAAAATAAAATAAAATATAAACAAAACAATAGCAACAGCAATAGCATTTAGCCTTATATACCACCCCATAGCACTTTAGAGCACCCTGTGGCTTGTTTACAATGTAGAAGCGTTCTTTGCATATTGCCCCCAACCATCTGGGTCTTCATTTTACTGACCTCAGAAGAATAGAAGACGGAGTCAAATTTGAGCCCATCAGGATTGAACTGCAGGCTGTGGGCAGAGTTTCACCACTGTGCCACCAAGACGTTGAAACAAAACAAAACAGGACACTTGATGAATTGACAAAGTGCCATGAAGTCAGTGTCAGCTCTTAGCTGACATAAACCTTCTCTGGAACATATCTGTCCCCCAGCTAGTCCTTCACATTTTCCAATACACTCATTGCTGAGTGATCCTTGATGCTCTCTGAGCTTGGTTGTACTTATGCAGATGTTTCATTACTCAAAGTAGGTATCATCATCAGTGCTGGTTTGGAGGGGGATTTGTTCTCAGTTTATATTCTAATGACTTGCCCTGTCAGTGTTAGCGGGAATGGTCTTATTCCTCAGAGAACACCAAGGACCTCTCATTTCAACTCTGAGCTACAAGTATTCTCCTTTATCAACACCCATTGCTATTTTAATCAACTCCATCTGTTTTGCTGTTGGCTGCCATTCTCTTCTCTTTCCTTCCATTTCTCCCAGTGTTCTAGTCCAGTGGTTCTTAACCTTTTTGAACGAATCGCCCCCTTGAGCCAATGAGGAAGTTGTCATCGCCCCCCTCCCCCAACATAACCTCTCAATCGCAACATAGGAAATAATTCTTCAATTTATGCAAACACTTGTTTTGTTTTCTTTAAAATTGTCATCAGGACATATCGATGCAAATAATTTATTTCCAGTCTTTTCCCCATATCTCCCATATTCTGGCCAATGGCATGCCACTGTATGGGTAGAGGCTGCTGCGCAACGCGCATGAAGATAAGCGATGCGTCTTCACATATGTACGGCGTTCTGTACTGAAGCTAGCTGGAGGAACATTTGAAAACACAATTCAATCCACTAATAGCGAGCGATCTGATGTTTTTGTACGACAGATATACAGCCATTCACTGTACAAAAAAGTCTCAAAAGTGTCCCCAAAACTTCTCACTCCATCGCCCCCATATCGCCCCCTTTTCATTCCTTCGCCCCCGCGTCACCTCTTTTTGTTCCATCACCCCCCCTGAAAAATGAAATTGCCCCTGGGGGGTAATATCGCCCAGGTTAAGAACCACTGTTCTAGACTACCCAAGAGACAGACTACGTGCTGTTATCCAAATCTTAACTTCTGATTTCTCCAAGGTCTTCTTGCAGGAGAAGCTTCTGTTTTTCTACTCTGTTCTCAAGATGGTTGAGGATCGCTGTCACTCTTTTCATGAGTTGGAGAAATAGAAAGTGGAAGAGAATATGGGGCGCCTTTGAGAAGCAATTGTCCATAAATAGATGTATCTTAACCCAGTCCTTCTCTTTAAATTAGGAATTCACTCTGTGAATTTGTCTTCCTTCTGCAGGGCAATCCTGGGAGGAGGGGCCTCCAGGGAGAACAGGGGGAGCCTGGCCCCAAGGTAAGTTGTGTGACATCAGAACTGACCAATAATTGACCAAGGGGGAGACTATGTGGGGCAATTTGAAACCAACCAACATCCAATTGTCCGTGGAGGTACTCAGTCACCCAGGTCATAGTTGTCTCAAAAGTGTTTTTTTCCAAAGGCAACTGGACTGTATTTTCCCTGAGGAAGAAGAAGAAGTTTCACTTCTCATTCAAGAAGCTTCATTAGGTCTGACAGGATGGTAGAAGCAATGGAAGGATAGGAAGATATGAAGGATACAAAGATACATGGAATACAAAGATATGAAGGTCAAAACTAATCCTTCCATTGCCTCCATCATCCTGCCAGAATTGATGAAGCTTCTTGGATGAGAAGTGGTGTCTTCTTCTTCTTCTTCTTCTTCTTCTTCTTCTTCTTCTTCTTCTTCTTCTTCTTCTTCTTCTTCTTCTTCTTCTTCTTCTTCTTCTTCTTCTTCTTATTCTTCTTCTTCTTCCTTCTTCTTCTTCTTCTTCTTCTTCTTCGTCTTCTTCTTCTTCTTCTTCTTCTTCTTCTTTTCTTCTTCTTCTTCTTCTTCTTCTTCTTCTTCTTCTTCTTCTTCTTCTTCTTCTTCTTTTCTTCTTCTTCTTCTTCTTCTTCTTCTTCTTCTTCTTCTTCTTCTTCTTCTTCTTCTTCAAAAAACCAGTCCCAGTTGCCTTTTGAAAAAGTACCTTTGAGTCAACCAACATCCATTTCTATTAATTCCTCTACTAGTGTCTGGTGTCAGGTCAAAGGATCAGATCAAAGTTCAGTTAAACTGATTTATTGCTATAGTCCAGGCTCAAGAACCTTCTCAATTAATGATTAGTATCTGCTTAGAGTTAGATAAGGGTCAATGGTACTCAAGGAGGGTGGGATTTAGTTCACTTGTGGCTATGTAGGGATTCTAGGCTGTTAGTACTGCTTTATACTCCTTTGGTAAGACCACGCTTAGAGTACAGCATCCTACAATACAACAAAGATGTTGAGACTCTAGAAAGAGTGCAGAGGAGAGCAACAAAGGTGCCATACAATGAACACAAGAACTAGGTATGTCTAGTCTAACGATGAGAAGGATTAGGGCAGGAGTAGGCAACCTTTGCTCTTTTATGACTCATGGACTTCAACTCCCAGAATCCCTGAGCCAGCCATGCTGAGGGGAAAGGGAGAGGTTTCCAAGCTGAGCCATGCTGGCTCAGGAATGCTGGGAGTTGAAGTCCACGAGTCATAAAAGAGCCAAGGTTGTCTACCCCTGGACTAGGGTGACATGATAGCAGTCTTCCAATATTTGGGAAGCTGTCACAAAGAAGAGGGGGTCGACCTCTTCTCCAAAGTACCTCGAAATCCAACTAGAATTAAGGAGAAATTTCCTGACAGTGAGAACAATTGATCGGCGGAATGGCTTACCTCCGGAAGTTGTGGGTGCTCCAACAATGGAAGATTTTAAGAAGAAATTGGACAGTCATCTGTCCAAAATGATATAGGGTCTCTTGCTTGAACAAGGTGTTGGACTAGAAGACTTCTAAGGTTCCTTCCAACTCTGTTATCCCTCTTTCCACCTCACCCCTAGGTTCTGCCCTCCTTCTCCCACATCTGGATATTTTTGGCTTTTAGATGATATGTTTTCAATCAGGAGAAATCCTTATAACCTGTACCAGAAAAAACATGCTATGGTCCTATTTGTTTGCTTTGTAGCCTCAACTGATTAAACTTTTAGGTTCTATGATGGAAGAGGGCTCATTAAATGGGATAGCAATCCATGACTAACAAAACATATTGGAGCCACCCAGTGAAATCCACACACAATCACGAAAGCTCACTGAAAAACTTTGCACCGGTCCCAAAGGTGCTTTTTCAAAAGGCAACTGGACCTTGTCTATGGAGATTCTCAATCATCCAGGTCATAGTTGTCCCAAAGGTGCTTTTTTCAAGAGGCAACTGGACTTTCTTGTTTTTCTTTGAAGACGTTTCGCTTCCCATCTAAGAAGCTTCTTCCACTCTGACTGGAGGGTGGGGAATGGAAGGATTTATACTCCTTGCAGACAGCTGGTCATTTGCATTCTTTTAGAGAGTTTGTTGAGGCCACATGGAGGCTTATCTGTGTTGTCAGGGTCACCTGAGTAGTTCAAATGGGTGTGGGGCCTTCTTGGAACTGTTGAAAGGATTGTATTGTGGCCTGGAGACAGATGATGTCGTATCCCTCCCCCTCTGTTGAGAGAGGTTGTTCAGTTTTGAGATAGATGCCGTCTTTGACCCCTCTTTCAAACCAGATGGCCTCAGTGACTCTCTAAAACAGGGTTTTTCAACCAGTGGTACGGGTACCACCTGGGGTACATTGGCACCTGGCAGGTGGTACGCGACCATCCTAGAAAAGTGGTAGCAGGGGAGGGGAATGAGTGAACCGGTGGCAGCACCGCACAAGCCTCAGCAAAAGATGGCTGGAGCTGCAGGGCTGTCAGGACTCAGTGGAAGCACCAGGAACAGCGCTTCTTTGGGGCTGTCAGGGCTCAGTGGAGTGCCAGGATCAGCGCCAGGCTCCAGCTGGAGCTCAGTGCTGATCCTGGCGCTTCTGGTGAGCCCAGAAGAAGCGCTGATCAGCTGGAATGTTGCAGCATCTCCAGAGTCTTGTGATTTACATTCAGATGCTTGGCAACTGATTCATATTTATGACGGTCACAGTATCCCAGGGTCATGTGAAGTAAGCAAAACCTGCTGCAACCATCTAGCAGACGAGGGGAATAAAAACCAAACACTCCCACCCCACCCCCACTGCCAATCCTCAACAGAAATGCTCACAACAATGAAAACCTTGGACAGGAGGAAGAGCACCGCTGGGTGGGCAGGCAGGTGTCTTGCTTGGCTGTGGCTTGGGGGGCACTTTTTTCAGTGCCGTTGTAACTTCGAACAGTCACTAAGTGAACTGTTGTAAGTCGAGGACTACCTGTACTTTATCACTTTTTTCCTTTTGGGGGGGGGGGTCATCAAGTTTTTGACACCTTGCTAGGCGACTGGAGGTACTTGGATGTTGCCATATCCTAAAAGTGGTACAATGGGTGAAAAGATTGAAAAACCCTGCTCTAAAAGAATGCAAGTGACCAGCTGTCTGCAAGGAGTATAAATCCTTCCATTCCCCACCCTCTAGTCAGAGCTGAGGAAGCTTCTTGGATGAGAAACAAAATGTCTTGAAAGAAAAACAAGAAAGTCCAGTTGCCTTGCCAAAAAGCATCTTTGGGGCAATTGGGCTTTGTTTTTTTCTTATAGACATTTTGCTTCTCATCCAAGAAGCTTCTTCAGTTCTGACTGAAGTACTGTCAGTTTTGACCGTCGAGAACTGAAGAAGCTCTTTGGATGAGAAGCAAAATGTCTTCAAGGACAAAAACAAAACAAAGAAAAGTCCAGTTGCCTTTTGAAAAAGCACCTTTGGGACAACCATGACCTGGATAACTGAGAATCCCCATCCATATTTGCCCCAGCCGTTGCCTCCCAGCCCAGCCTGTGATCCTTATGTAAGCTCCTGATGGAAAAATGGACATTAATCTAGGAAGTAAATTCCTTGCTTACACAATACTAGCATGTCTCAGAGTAAGATCCAGTCCATTCTTCCCAGCACATAGTTCTTTTCTGCGTACAGTGGAAATAATTCAAATATACAATAACTTTCCCCAGTCGGCTGCAATAATATTCTTTGGGAAGGAACAATTGATTTTCCTAAATTTAGATGGAGCCCTTATTTTCTTCCTTATCATCCAAAACTCATGAATTGAAGCTGATGGAGATATAAAAATCACTGGGTTTCCTAAAAAATCTATTCCTCAGCTTAGGAAGTGAGGGAAGTTAGCCCAGAGAAGGAAATATTAAAAAGGCAGAAAAATATATTTTTCCTCAAAAGGACTTTTTAAAACCAAACCTGGCCCCAAATCTATCTCTCTGCCCCAAGCAAGACTTTAGCCCCATACAAATGCAGATGTAAAACCATCAGAAAGTTGGAGCCAGAGCAATCAAGAAGACAAAAGAGAAGATCTGCATACCCCACCCAAACTCTAAGAGTCATTAGCCCCATCACCTGGGAAGCAGGATATGATAATAGAATTAAACTACAGATATCAAGGCCTAGACAAACACTCAGAAACAGTCTCAAGGTTCATGCCACAGGAACAGGAAACTATTCCAAACAAAAGGCTAGAGGGGGTATAAAAGCCTACTACACCATGTGCTCAGCCCTTCTCTCCTCTGCACTTTCCTGAAGAACGATCTTTCTGCAATAAACTGTAACCTTCTTCCCAAAGCAGTCGCCATGTTTGCTTATTTATTCCCGGCTTGGATGAACCAGGATGAAGACTTACTTCTAACAGAAGGTTGCTCTGAAATTCTGCCTACCCCTTTTTTTCAACCTCTTAAGTCTTGCCTGGGAGCAGCTCAAAGAGGGATTAAAATCCTGAAGTTATTATTTAGGCTTCTTGGACCTGAATTCGTCGTTCAGATGCCTCCAAACATGCTACGGCCCGGTTCCTTATTTTCATTGTCTCCTTTTAGCAAAATAAGTAAAGGAAAAAAAAAAAAACAGATTTCCCCTAAAAGATCCATTAAACAAGGCAATATATGCAGCTCTTCAGAAAGTTTCTGCAGTGGAATTTTTTCTACTCCATTTGACAAGACAGTAGAAAGAGACTGGGATGTACTTAAGGGAACAATTCCCAATTAATCTATTATACTGGAACACTGTTTTCGTTCTCTTTATTATTGCTGTGTGAGTCAGCAAGTGGTTGCCTTTTGTAAGGCTGTGTCAGAATGACCTTGGGAGATGGAGGGAAGAGAAGCTGCCTAGGCAGTGTTTCTCAACCTTGACAATTTTAAGGCATGTGGACTTCAACTCCCAGAATTCCACAGCCAGCAATGCTGGCTGTGGAATTCTGGGAGTTGAAGTCCACATGCCTTAAAATTGTCAAGGTTGAGAAACACTGGCCTAGAGAACAATCAGATAACAGGGAGGGGAGCTCTCA